ATGAATGATTATGGCTAGCCAGTGGTAAAGTTTTGGATAAATGAATCTGGATTCTTCAATTTGAATGCATTTCAAGGACTCTTCAATATATCAAACAACCAATCAATCAACAAGCATTTCTTAAATACTACTTGCCAGGCACAGTACTATACTCTGGCAATACAAATACAAAGAAAGAAATAATCACAAAGAACTTACGCTTTTGGATTATATGATTCTATGTCACCCCAGTTCTAGGGGAATACATAACTATTTATCCAATTTTATAAAGCCTGTATAAATGGGTTAATTAGGGAAACAGGGTCATGTAATAAGAATTCTATTTTACCTTAATCAGTGTCCACATCATTTAACCTCCCTGGTCCTGAGTTTCCTTATATGTAAAACTAGGAGAGTTCATGGTATTTAGATTGGGAAAGAGATCTTGGGGCTGATCTAATCCCTCTTGTTTTATAGGCAAGGAAACCGAGGCTTGGAGAGATGGCACAGCTTATTAAGGTCACACATAGCAAGAAGTAGATCTGAGGTTTTGATACAGTTCCTCTGATTCCAAACCCAATGCTCTGGATCCTTCCAGCTCTGAATTTGTTATTTCTTTCTTTCTTCCCCCTAACCCCCACCTGAGGCAATCAGAGTTAAGTGACTTGCCCAGGGTCACACTGCTAGTAGGTGTCAAGTGTCTGAGGCTGGATTTGAACTCAGGTCCCCTTGACTCCATGACCAGAGCTCTATGCATTGTGCAACATAGCTGCTACTGAATCTGTTATTTCTTAATGTTTTTGGAGTTGGCTATAGAGCACACTTAGTCTGGACAATTGCTTATGGCAGCTGGACTAGGTAGTGTCTAAGGGTTCTTCCAGCTTTAAATCCTATGATTTTTTTTTTTAGTAGAAGTTATCTAAAGTATTTTAATTGTATTATTTCAAATTGACTTAAAGCACTATAGGCATGCTAGTATCTGAAAAAATCAGATTTCTTTCCTTATTTATGCAAATAATTTTCAATTGCCATTGAGAAAGAAAAGGAAAGGATTTCATTTCATTAGATAATCTACTTGTGTACATATCACTGTCATGGGAGAATACATTATCAACTAAATTGAAAATTTAGTGCTGGAAGGGACTTTAGAGATTATTCCCTTCATTTTGCAGAGAACAAAACTGAAGCTGATAAAGAAACTAAATTACTTGCTCTATTTAGTATAAGCAGTTAAATAGTACAGTTAGAAATTGGATCAGTGTCTTCTGACCTCCAGATCTCATATTCTTGCCACCATACTATTTTGTTTGTTTTCAGATTCTTGAGATGTTTTTTGTTTGTTTTGGAAATACCTGTGACAAAACTAAAACACCAAGTCAAGCGATTGTGACAAATCATGTTGTACTTTGTTATCCAATTGTTGTTAGTAACTTAAACTGCTCACATTAATATTTTACTACTGTTACTCAAGTTTAGAGTCTACTGTGACATTACTTTTGAAACAGACTTTCAAAACCAGCCCTGAAGTAATAGAACAGAAATAAGAAACCATAAAATAGTTTCTATCTCTTTTTCCTGTCATTATTGGCAGAGTAACAATAGAAAGACCAATGACTTAAGAGATTTCAAGAGATTTGAGTTCAAATTCCAGCTCATTTTCTACGTGTACTTGTGAGAGGCACTGGGTGCTTCTCTAATCCTCAGTTTCTTCACCTATAAAATGAAGATAATTCTTGTACTTCTTTTATCATAAGGTTTTATGGGGAAAACACTTTGTAAAGTCACTTCCTTTCTCTGAATCTCAGTTTCCTCTTCTGTAAAATGAGAACTTGGACACAATGACATTCAAGGTCTCTTCCAACTCTAAATGTTGTGATCTAAAACACAACACTATATGAATATGAGTTTTTAATACCAAAATCAAATAAATACTTCCATTAAATTCATATTAGTGTTATGCCAAAAACAAGGGATGAAAAAATATTTAAAGCAGTGACAACTGACACTCAGACATCACAAAGCTTGTCTTTCCATCTGGCTGCATTAAATGGACAGGCTCCTCCTTTAAAACCCATTTAAAATACTACCTTTTTGAGCTAGGCCTCACAAATTGACTCAGTAAGTAATGAGCTTTCTCTCCAAAGTTCTTAGAGTTTTTAATTACATCTCTATAATGTGCTTATATATTATCTTATGTTTCAGTTGTGTGTGTGTGTGTGTATCCATTTCTCAGAGAATTACAGAGAAACTTCTATTCTATACTTTTAATCCTTCCAACAGCCCAGAAAAATGTTTTTTGTACAGTGTATGTTAACTAAAAATTAATGTGACTAAATTAAATCAGATCTCATCCCTGCCCCCACACACATTACCATTACAATTAAAAGAAGGCATGGCATATCTATTACTTGTGGATGGGAGTTATGGTCTGGGACCCAGGAAGACTTGGGTTCAAATACTCCTCTCTCCCCCACCTCAATCACACATATACACATCCTTAGGTACCTTATACAGACATTAGCTAGCTTTCTCTCTCTCTCTCTCTCTCTCTCTCTCTCTCTCTCTCTCTCTCTCTCTCTCTCTCTGTGTGTGTGTGTGTGTGTGTGTGTGTGTGTTGGAACATGGGCATGGATTTAACTTTCCTGACCCTCCAGCAATTCATTAAGACTCTCAGTTATAGTTGGCTCCAAGGTAGTGGGAATTCCAGCACCTAAGAAACCAGAGGCCATTGAAATATTGCCTTAATTATGTAACACTCTAATCAAGTATAAGGGCTGCAATTCTTTCACTGATATCAGATTTTTTAAAGTTCTTTGACACAAGGACCAAAATTATATTTATTGGTATTGCATAATCAGAATGTTTTTTTCCCCTGCCCTTCTGTATCTTTTTTTTTTTTTTTTTTTTTTTGCTTTTTTTGTGAGGCAATTAGGGTTAAGTGACTTGCCCAGGGTCACATGGCTAGTAAGTGCCTGACACTGGATTTGAACTCAGGTTCTCCTGACTCCAAAGCCAGAGCTCTATACATTGTGCCACCTAGCCGCCCCTCCCATTTGTATCTAAAGTGCAACATAAACTTTTCACTTTGTAAGTAACCCAATTTTAATGCCTGAAAAAATTTCTCACAGATTGAATAAATTTCATGTAAAATGCTTTTCCTTAGTAATAACACAATGATAATTCATTATTCTAAGAATTATAAGCATGGCCTTAGTTCTTGAAAACCTTGGGGAAAAAAAGTATGTGCATTGGACTACTTCTTTCCCAATGAAAACACTCTGTTCAGAAAAGTCCTACACGACAAGAAGGCTCCAATACCCTGCAAGATACATTAAGTTTGCTTGGCCTTCAGAAGGGTGCAACTCTGCAGCTGCTGATTTTGAACTACAGGTTGGGGGAGGGGGATTGTGGGTGTTTTGATTTATAACTCCAGCGTACACTGGAATTCAGTTTCACTCTAAGCAGTCATTTTAATAAATAAATAACTCTTGAAACAGCAACAGATTAGCTCTATATGTGAAGAAACTAAAAAAGCTATTTTTATCAATAAATGTTGATCACTGACGCCAGTAACACAGGTGGAGTTTTCAGAAACTGTTTTTTTTTTTTTCAAAGACAGAAACAGGTAGTCCCTGACACAACTAGGCAGAAGTCTCATCCCTGAAACATTAAATTCTGAATTAGTTTGTGCCATTCAAAACGTCAAGAATTTCAAAGAGTTGGAAAATGACAAGATGTCTCCAACATATCAAGATGTTGCAACTGCTATTTTTTAAAAAATGCAATAACGAAAAACAATGAACTAGTATTGATTGAATGTAGACTGAAGCATGCTATTTTTCACTTTCTTTCACTTTTTTCTTTTATTGGGTCTTCTCGTACAAAATAACTAATATGGAACTGTTTTACATAATTGCACATGTACATCTGATTGCTTAAGGTCTCAGGGAGGGGTGAAGGATAGAATTTGGAACTCAAAACTTTAAATAAAAATGTCAAAAAATTTGGGAGAAAAAAGAAAAGGTAACGGATACGCTCATGAAGTTAGCAGAATTACAATCAGGTGTCCGGTTCTGCAGACCCTAGCATTTAAATAAGACGGTTTTTCAATGTCACAGCTAAACTGTAACTACTGATGCAAGGGTCCACCCTGCTCATCTCCAAATTAGATTACTAAATTAGACCCCAAACCAAAATATCGCTTTCGTCAGGACACCACTTAAAAGCTATTTAATTTCTTTGACCTCTGCCCTTCTTTCAGTCCAAAAAACTTGGCTAAGCTGAGAGTGCAGGTTAACCTTGACATTTTTGAGAAGTAAGATTGTTTCGCTTACACAAGGCTGCAGATAGTCGAAAATCTGTAGTTGCTAGCGGTTCAGTTCTTGGCAGGTTAACTAAATGCAGGAGAAGGCTTCAGACTCAAGGCATACATTTCCCACTCATAGGTGCAAAGGACCTCACGACGCCTTTTAAGGGGCTTCTTTTCGTATGCTTCCTCAAGGAGGAAAGCTGGGCTCAAGCCCAGGGAAGCGACCGTGGGTCTGCCCTCATATTAGGCTGTGGGAATGGAGAGTCCGCAGCGGCTCTAGAGCCGCAACCCAGGCGTGGGCAGCACTTTCCCACGGCCGAGCCCTGAGCGCAGTTACCCAGCGTGGGTCAGCCGGGATGACAAGGACGCTGAGAACCTCCCAAGCCCCCTTCCTCAATTCCCTGGGGCCCAAGCCTCCTCTTCCTCTCTCATCCTTCCCTCAGCCTTGACCCGTGGTGCCTGGGCACTGCCTTCTTTCCCTCATCCCTCCTCCCAAGCGTGGGAACCAGACACTAGTTAGGGCCGCGCAGGGGCCGAGCTGGTTGCAGCTGCGAGCTGGGCAGGAGGCTTCCCCGGGGAGGAGGCAGGCGCTGAAATCCGAGCTCGAGCCGAGCCAGGAGTGAAGAAGTGACGGGGCGAAGGTGCACTCTCCAGAACCCGAGAACCCTAAGCTCAGGAGGCCAGCAGAGTGGGCTGAGCAGCGATTACTTACTTTATATCTTCCCAGACCTCGCGCCGGAATTCCGGATCACTGGAGGCTCTAAGACGCGATCCACTAAGCCTGACTGCAAGCACCGGACGAAGAGGGGCGTCAGGGACGGGAGGGGGAGAGGAGGGAGAGTGAGGACTCTAGGATACTCGCTCTGGCCTCTGGTGCTCCGTGCACTCGTGTGTACGGCCCTCCTGGGGCTTTGCACTAAAGTCTCCCACCCTACCTGCTCATGGGTGGGCGAGGAACAGAGAACTCTTGAGCAACCAGATTGCCAGCTCTTCCGAAGCCTGCCTTCTCTGCTTCTATCTCATTGTGTGTCTGTGCGCGTGTGTGTAAGTCACACACACACATACACACACACATACACACACGCACACACACACGCACGCACGCAATTCACAGTCTTCTCTTTGTCCCATTGCACACTATAAGCTTTGAATCCTCTCTTCTCTCCAAGCACAGAAAAATGAAAGTAATTCTTCAGGCTTAGACGTGGACCAGGGGAATGTCCCTCACCATACTGCACTCACCGCCGTCCTTCTTCGTGGCTTTTTGGCTAACTGTATCTATTTGCCTGGCTCCGTTTCTGGTCGCCCACCACAGTTTTCCTTCTGCCGAGGCTGTGCCCTTGGCGGGAAGAGTTTTCCCTTACTGTTTTGCCTCCCCTGGGCTCTCACTCTCTCTGTCCCCGTCTCCTAACTCACTTCAGAAACTTGTATTTTGGGCTACCGGCTCTATGCTCCACCCACCAGCCTCTGCTAGGAAAAAGCAAACCGAGTTCTCCTGGGCTGCCAGATCAACCATCCCAAAGACCACTCTAAAGAGGGGGAAACCAAAGAGACCAAAAAAAAAAAAAAAAAAAAAAAGACAGGGAAGAGAGTGAGGGGAAACTAGCAGCCAGCGCCAATATACTTCAATATGTCTTCTTCCTTGTAGTGGTTTTGAAAAGCTCTAGTTAACTCACTTAAATGAAAAAACGCTATGGCACCTGGGTTACGAATTTGATTAGTTACTCTGTCTGACGTTAATTTGGCCAGGAATTCCAGGTCCAGCCTAAGATTTTCCTCTCTCAGAGGACATGTGGAGTCACTGAAAGACTTACCTTTGCTTCTTAATGCTGTCATCTCTCCCCTCAGCAGGCCCACCTTTACTTGCAATCCGATACAATGTGTGAACCATGAGCAGGCCATTGTATTTTTTCTAATTAAAAATAGAAAAATTTTCCCCACAAACAACGGAAGACATAATGATGGTCCTCCTTTTCCACTCATTTTGATTCCGTGATGCTTCTCTTAATGCATCATACCACTGTTTGAAAGGGGCATTAGGTGGAATATCCAAAACTAGGTATCACTTCCCGTTGCCTATGTGACAACTTTCCGTCTTAAGAATCTTCAAGTGAGCAGAACCAGGAGAACATTGTACACAATATAGACTTAGCTCTTTTCAGCAATACAAGGATCTAAGACATCTCCAAAAGTCTCATGATGTCAAATGTTATCCACATCCAGAGAAAGAACTATGGAGTTTGAATGCAGAACGAAGCATACTATATGCTCTTTTTTTTCCTGCTGTTTTGTTTTGTTTCTTCTTTCTTGTAGTTCCTCCTATTGGTTCTAATTCTTCTTTACAACATGACTAATGTGAAAATGTTTAATAGGAATGTATATGTAGAGCCTATATTAGATTGCATGCCATCTTGGGAGGAAGGCAGGAGGGAGGGGGAGAAAATTTAAAACTCAAAAGTTTATGTAAGTGATTATTGAAAACTAAAAATAAATTACTTTTAAAAAATCTTCAAGTTTCCCTTCTGTAAAACCATTTTGTCACCATTCTTGTTACCACTGAGGAAAACACTGATTATATCATTTGACTTGCTAAATGTGGTCTCTTCCTGGAATGTATATTGTCATCTATCTCTTTGTTAGAACTCTGTCTGAATTCAGAGTTTGCATTTCCAAAGTTCATGGAGTTCTTCGGGTTTCTAAATTGCTTAATGTTGCTCCAAAAAAAAAAAAATAAAAGGTAGAGATTATAGAGAAGCAAAATATGAAATTAAGTCAAATCATTGCAGGCCCAGATTATCAATGCCTGAAAAAATATGAAAGCACTAAAAGTATGTAATCTCAGGCCTCCTCTATTCCTTATGCTGCCTTCTATACCCACTATGCTTCCTGAGTGCTCTAAAACATTGCCTGCCTTTTAATTTGAGCATTAAGAAATAATGGACAGGCTGTATGTTGTGATGGGAAGAGCGCTGACCTGGGAGTCATCTTTTTCAGAAAGCTTTAGTTATCTCTTAGTAGATCTCTCTGTCTTTAGTCTTAACAGATCGCTATCCATCTTTCACACTGCTGCCAAATACATTTTCCTGATGTAAAAGGATGTTCTTTTCACTCCACTGCTTAAAAACTTCAGTGGTTCCCTGCCAAGTAAAGAGAACTCTCATTGGAAATTTGAATACCAATTCAAAATTGCCATTCAAAGCTCTCCACAATCTTCTTCCAATCAATTTTTTTTGTTTCATTTCACACTGTATTTCCTTACATATTCCTCTCCTGAGGCTACACTGTTTAATATTTCCAATATTTCTCTGTCTGAAGGTCTTTCCTTACATAGTTCCCTCCCTCCTTTCCCCCACCCCATCATAGGATTTAAAGATGGAAAATTTTAAGAGATTGTCTATTCCTTTATGCCCTCAAAAAAAACAAGCCTAGAGATGTTAAGATATTTACCCAAGGTCTCACAGGCAAATGGAAGAATGGGAATCTGCAACCCAATTTTCTCTCTTCAAATCTCCCCTTGCACCAGGTTACCTTTCCGTGTGCCTGTTGACATCTTAACCATCCTTTGAGCTCTAGCTCAAACACCTTTCCCTTCATGAAGTCTTCCCTAATTGTCCCAAGCTGGAAGGAATGTCTGTCTCATCTGTTCTCATAGGATGTAGTTCAATCTCCTCATTTTATATATTGGGAAACAGAGATCTATAGAGGATGTGACTTGCCCAAGAGTGCACAGTAAAGCAGCAGGACCAAGATTTAAGTCTAGGTCTGTTGTTTTCATACTCATACCATGAACTCTTAATATTTGTGGATAAAAGAGAAGCTCTCAGGCTATTGATCTACTAGGTTCATGTGTGCAAAAAGAGTAAAAAGAACTCAAGACTGAGAATTAGAGAGTGTGAGCTTGAATCTTTATTTCCACTGCCTATATAAGCTTGTTTGAGTCATGCCACTTTGCTGTCCTCAATTTTCTCATCTGTGAAATGGACTCATTAGACAGGATGACCTCTAGCTCTAAACCTTTGATGCTATGGTCTGTTATTATGTGTGGAAAAGTTCCTAATAGTTACAAATCCAATTTCTAGCTGTTCATCTACATAACTATAGGCAGCAGGGCACAATGGAAGCAGTACTGGAGATAGTGTCACAGAACCTATGTTCTGCTATCTATTCTACCTCTTGTGTGATTTAGGGCAGCTGACTAAACATGAAGGGCCTTAGTTTCTCTATCTGTAAAATCAGTTAGACTAAATGACTCCTAAGATTGTTTTGAGTATATTTATAGATCATTTGATCTATGATCCAAGCTGTGTGACTTTGGACAAATCACTTCAATGATATTACCCTTTTATTCCTTCTCTGTAAAATAAGAAGTTGAATAAATAACATATAAGATCTCTTGGGGCTTTAAAATTCTATTGGATGAGGGACAGAAACATAGTACTAGAGAGTTCTAGCACCTTGGACCAGTACTTGAGCACTGTTTTTGTAATATATGTGGTATCATTTCCATATAAATATATATACATACATACATACATATATATATATGTATATATATATATATTTTTTTTGTTTGCACTAGGATGTTAGGTGGAGGAGCAAGAAAAAAATGTTGTGTTAATAACATGAAATTCCAAACAAACTATTTGTAAGCTGGTGTTTTATGTATTTTTTTCCTCTTTGATGCCTTTCTTTTCTCATTTCATGCCATTTCAACTCCTTTGTTTTCCTTTTTCCCTTTTAAGAGAATCTTCTTTATTTTTAGCTTCATTTAAATAAGTTTTATTGGGGATTTTTTTGACTGGTCACTTAAAATAATTATGGCTAGCCTGGCACTCTGAAATGCTCCTTCTGGAACTCAAAGCTTCATTTGAGACAAACAAGAATAATTTAAGGTTCCTGCATGAGAATCTATCTCTAGATCTGCTAAACAGTCTCTTTTTATTCAGGCACTTCATAGAGAAGTTTGGAATTGAGATTCTGATGATGATGGGAATGTTGTCCCATCTTCCAAAAAAAAGTGATTATCCTGAAATGATGCTTTAAAGGAGTGGTTTTTAAATGGACAAATGGAAGAGGTATTTACAGCTTCATTCCAACCTTAAGCCACTCCTCCCTAAATGCTATTAAATTTTTAAAAAGTGATAGGTTTTTTGCTTTGTTTTGTAAGATATTTGTGACTGTTCCAAGGTTTGCAGGGCATTATAGAACTAGAGAGACAATTTCTACAGATTGGACAGGAACATCAGAACCCCACTTACAATTAAATTAAAGCAAAATGTACCCTGGCTCTGGAGACCTCACAGACTTTCAAAACAGGACCAGGCTAGTGTTTGAAAATGCACTACGCAGAATGCTAGTAGCCCATTGTTCTAACTTGTATTACAATGATTCTGGTCAATCTTCAAACAGATCTTCACCAAGTTTATAGTAATAATTAATAATAGTAATTATATCATTCATATAACACTTTAAAGGTTTCCAAAACAAAGAGGCTTACACCAAAGCAGACACACACACACAAAAGAAAGAAAATCAAAGGCTAACAATTCAGAGTAATGTTATTCTTGGGATCCCTGGTTTCCTTCAAGAGTTAGATCAAATGCTATCTTCTGCATAAAGTCTTTTCTGCCTCTTCCTCCCCTCACATACCAGCTGCAATTCCCATTCCCCCCCGTTACCTTGTGTATGTTTCATACATACACCTATATATGTGAATACTGTACCATTCCTTACTCTTAGAATATAAACCCCTTGAGGGCAGGATTTATTTTACATTTATTTTCATATCCCCAGCATCTAGCACAATGCCTGGAACATAGTTGGAGCTTAATAAATGCTTGTTAGATTGTCAATTTTAGACACTGACCCAGAGGAAGGCTAATGAAGCTGCTTTGCCTGCCAGCCAGTTTGATTCACCAAAGCTTCTGGAACTATCTTCAACAAAACCAAAATGTAGTGGATTAAGTCCTGAAATCCAGATCTGAAGATAGTGGAGGAGGCTAGAGTGCAAGGCCTCCAATCTTAGCCTTCTAGTAGAGACAATGTGATCTGAAAGTCTTGTCCTAGGAAACTTTTAAAGTTTTTCTGGTTGGAAATTGGGAAAATGCTGGTCAATTCTCTCACCACTCCAGTCTATTCTGCATGCTGCTGCCAAAGTAAATTTCCTTATGTGCAGCTCTAACTCTATTCAACACATTCAGTGGCTTCTTATTATCTCAATGATAAATTATAAGCCCTACTATTTACCTTTTGAAGCCAATCACAAGCTGACTCCAATCTATCTTTCCAGTAACATTGGACATTAATCTCTCTCCCACACTCTATCACCTCACCAAACTGGCCTTCTTTCTGTTTCTCCCACAATGCCCTCCATCTCTGTGCCTTTGTTCTGGCCATGCTGCATAACTGCAATGCCCTGCCTCCTTAACTT